ATTCTATTGGCCACAATAAATTAAAATTTTGGCCAACAGACTGTATTAATGCCAGATGCCTGAATGCATTTTAACACAGAGCTTGAAATGTCCACTAGCCTGCTCACATTGGAGCCTGCAGCAGGTGATATTGAGAGTCGGGCATGATCACTGCAGTGGTGGGGACAGCTAAAAGAACTGATCTCCCTGTACAGATTTTAATGAAGCAGCTGAAAGCCGAGGGAGAGAGAGGAGGAGAAGCGTCTTCCAGCTGCCTTATTGAAATCCATACAGGGAGATCAGTACTTGTAGCTGTCCCCACCACTGCAGAGATCAGTGGTGTATTTAGGTTTTGTGCTGCCCTAGGTAACACAAAAATTGTTCCTCACCTCTCCCCTGACACCAACCAACACCACCACCCCCCCCCCCCCCCCCCATACACACACACACTCAAAAAAGCCTTCCACTATCACCGCCCTCCACATACCAGCCACACACTGGCCACATCCCCTGGAATGAGAGTCTGCATACACCATCAAGCAGCCCACAACCTCTCTCAGATCCCACCAGGTCTCCATGGCTTGTGTGTCCTTTCTTCCATGTCTTCTTACGGGGGCAGTGCTGCCCCCCTGAAAAATGCCTCCCTAGGCAAAGGCCTTGTTTGCCTTATGGTAAATACACCACTGGCAGAGATCATCTCCGACTGTCAATTGGATTTCTCTTTCTGTGCCCCCCTCCTCTGTGCCCAGCCCCTCCCCCAATCCTCCACACAAATATGAGAGAGAGGCTGGATCTGCACTGCCTCCCCCTGTGCCCGCCCACACTCCAGTCCGTGCAGCTTCTCTGAATGAGATGTCTGGGTGGGAGATTGTATACAGAGCAGCTGACAGCTCTGTAATGCTTCTGACTGAGTCATCTGAGTTAATCCTTCCTTCCTTCCTTCCCTCCTTCCCTCCCTCCTTCCTTCCCTCCTTCCTTCCTTCCTTCCTTTCCTTCCTTCCTTCCCTTCCTTTCCTTCCTTCCTTCCCCTCCTTCCTTCTTCCTTCCTTCCCTTCCCTCCTTCCCTCCTTCCTTTCCTTCCTTTTTCCTTCCTTCCCTTCCCTCCTTCCCTCCTTCCTTTCCTTCCTTCCCTTCCCTTCCCTCCTTTCTTCCTCCCCTCCATTCCTTCCCTTCCTTCCTTCTCTTCCTCCCTTCCCTCCTTCCTTTCCTTCCCTCCCTTCCCTCCCTTCCCAACTTTCTTCCTCCCCTCCATTCCTTCCCTTCCTTCCTTCCATTCCCTCCCTCCCTTCCTTCCCTACTTCCTTCTTTCCCCTCCCCCTCTTTCCTATTTTGTCCTCCAGCAATAGCGTTCATGAGTGCAGCCAAAAGAGTTTAGTTTTGTGTGGTAGTAGTTGGTCCCATTTCGGGACATCTGATGTAAGGGGACTGTGATGGGCCCCTAATGTAAAGGGGGATTCTGATGGGACATCTGATGTAATGGAGGACACCTGATGGGTGTGTTTAGGAGCGGGGTGGGGCAACTGGTGGCGAGTAACTCTTAAGGCCTGGCTAGTAGCTCAGGACTTGAAATTTTGAAATGCAGTTTTGTACTGTGTTTTTCTGCTGCTAAACTCCTGTAGAAACAAAGGAGTTATGGAGAGTACAGTGTGTATGGGGTCTCAAAAAAACACATGAAAGAAATTATTGCTTCAATTAATGAACACTCACAATATTTAAAAATTCTTTAAAGTGGTTATAAAGTCACAACTTTTTTTTACGCTACATTCCTTGCATTAAGGTAGATACAATCCATCCCACTACCAGTTCTCCTCCCCCTAAATATTTACCTGTCCCCTCTCACTAATCCCAGCTGTGCCGGATACAGCCATAGGCTACTGAAGCTATCAGTCAAACTCCTATGAGGATAGAGCTGGGGACATGGCTGAGCTGTTCTGTGTGTGTCTATGGAAAGAAGAGTAGTGGACAGCACCGGTGAGGAACTTCAAAAGAGGAAGTAAGACCGCTCTGTGCAATATTGTTATACAGAACAGGTAAGTAGAACTTATTTTTTAATTTTAAGAGCAAACAAAAACTTTGCCTTTAGAATCACTTGAAAATGTTCTCAGCTGTCCACGTGACATTCCTGACCTCATGTGGGGTGGCTCAATGTTAGTGACTGACAGTGGAGCACTTTTTCTTAACTCCCCTGTCTATTTGGGCCACATGACTGTGTAAATGAAAAAGAAAAACTAGCCGTCAAATAAACCATGCTGGTTCCAACATACAATGTACACTTTGAGACATCTTTCAAACCTATTATTTGAAGTATTTGTGTAGTTTTCATGTCAACCTTGAAGCTGCATGAAAATACCCTCTCTGCACTGTATTTTATTTTGCATTGGTACATTTCCTCTATGATATTGCCCAGGTTCCCATCAGGGGCGGACTGACAACACATGGGGCCCCCCGGGCAATAGGGGATCATGGGCCCCTGTGTCCTTGCCCAAACTCAAAAAAGCCTATGAAAAAGGTACCAGGGGTATCTCATGGGGCCCCCTACTGACCCCGGGCCCTCGGGCAGTGACCGAGTTTCCAAATGGTCAGTCCGCCCCTGGTTCCCATATCTCTTTGACAATAGTTTGCCTATTAGCCCTAAAAACGGACACAATCCACTCACAGGATTCATCTTCTAAAAACTTCTGTGGGATTCACTTCTAAGTTTGGGTTTTACAAATTTCAAACAGGATTTGAGGATCCCCCCCCCTTTTGAATAAACCCTGGACAGATGCGCCCATCTCTAATCATTAGTTTTCAGTCTGAATTCACACCATGCGTCCCAATCACACTGGAAACAATTGTTTCCTATGTGTCCCATTCACACTGAAACGCAGCCTAGGGCTGAGCTGCAGCATGCTGTGATAAAATGCTGGCATGCTGCATTTTATTGCAGCCCACTGTGTCGAGTTATATGGTAATGTGTCACCTCCTCCCATGCTCGCCTCCAGGACTTCTCCCATCCTATGGAACTCCCTACCCTAATCTGTCCAGCTATCTCCTAATCTATCCACCTTTAGATGATCCCTGAAAACCTTTCTCTTTAAAGAAACCTATCCTGCTTCTAACTAGTAAACTGCCTTTTATTTCCTCCATCAGCTCATCCCCCACAGCTATTACCTTTTGTATCACTCAACCCTTCCTCCTAGATTGTAAGCTCTAACGAGCAGGGCCCTCTGTTTCCTCTTGTACCAAATTGTATTGTAACTGTAATGTCTACCTTCATTTTGTAAAGAGCTGTGCAAACTGTTGGCTCTATATAAATCCTGTATATAATAATAATAATAATAATGTACAGCACCACAGAGCATCACATTGCCATGAATGAAGTGTATATTTGTAAGTTAGATCCTGGTTCCTTAGTTGCTGGTTGGTTCTTGCTTGGCTGTGGCACATGTTGTTGGCTTTTGAGGTGGTCACGTTGCAATCTCCTGGCCAGGATGGTTGTGTGTTGGTGGGTTGCCTTCCAGTTGCCATTTGCTTTCTTGTGAGGTTTGTCAGCCATTGTACATGCTAGTTCTAAGCTATGATATATGGGTTGAATTGGTAATACCACTCCATACCATATCAACAAGCCTTGTTATCTTCTGAAGAAGTGATCGCTGCTTCATGAAACGCATTGAGATGTTGCGCAGACATGCTATGTCATTTATGTATCATTAGTATCATTGTTAGCAGGCGTCATACAGGTGTTTGGGAAGCATTTTTAATGCTCCTCAAATGCCTATGAAAATTCTACACATGGCAACACACAGTGCTGTTCACACTGAAGCGTTACCATCGCGACGCGGCAAAATTGACGCTTCATGTGGAGTCAGGAGGAGTTGAAGCCTCCCATTCAAGTTTATGGTGATGCTCCTCAAATGCCTGGCAGGCATTTGCGGAGCATTAATACCATTAAACTTCACTATAGGCTTTTGTGGTGCGATTTTAAAACTTGGCAAACGCCTATCAAATGCCTGGTGACCTGCATTCTTCCAGTGCTGTAAAATGCAGCTCAAGGCAGTATGGGGTTGATTTTCTAAAACTGGAGAGTACAGCTCTGCGTAGAAACCAATCAGCTTCCAGGTTTTTTGACAAAGCTAAAGTTAGAAGTTGACTGGCTACCACACACAGCTGCACTACATTTTTCACCCTCTAATATTAGTAAATCACCCCCTATGTGTGAACAGGGCCTCTGTTTTGAAGCAATGGCTCTTCTCCAAAGGTCTGTCAAGCCCCTTAATATGTAAGAGCTAGACCACTTCGATCAGTAGGCAGTGTGACCTTTGCTGATTTGAGAAGTCTAGCTCTGACTCAGCAGGGGGCATGTCAGACCTCTGCAGAGAGACCACTGCTTCCATACAAAGAGCAAGGGTTCATCTCTACAACATGCTGGTAGAGACAGACTTTTTACTCATCCTGCTGTTGCTTTCTAAAGAAAATAAACTGTAAGACTTTGCACATCTTTTGTTTTGATGTACCTGGAATCAATATAGCTGTATACAACTAAAAGTTCTGTTGGGCATAAAGTGTTACTAAACCCACAACAGTAAAATCAGTCTGGTATATGCAGTAAAGCATGCTTGTTATACTCACTGTGGAACCTAAGGGGTTAATCCTCTACATTGTGTAAAAAGGCTGTTTGATCCGGACATCTCTGCCCCTCTTCTTGTTCAAATGTTCATGCTGATAAGACAGACTGAACCTATAGCCCTTCTGCACATGCTCAGTTTAGTGTGTATTGCTAGAGAGGGTTTTTTTTGGGGGGAAAGTGCATGTGATCAGCACAGGGCCAATCAGCACTGTTCGGACAGAGGTCAGGGATTTTGTATCCTCCTAGAGCAGAAAGAAAACTCCTCCTATAAGCTTTAACTACTTGCCAACCGCAGATAGCCAAATGAGGGCTTCACTGCGGCCGGCCAGTTCTGGGTGGATGTCATATGACGTCCTCCTAGAATGCGTTCTCCTGCGTGCCCCTGCAGGAGTGACACGCTGATCACCGTGAAATGCAATTTCCGGTTATCGGCTGCACTTTCCTCACACTGTTACAGCGTAACAGGAGGGATCGGCACGATCATCAGGGCAGTAATGATCAGTGCCCTGATGATCGGTGCCCAGCAGTGCCACCCACCAGTGCCGCCCACAAGTCCCCAACAGTGACGCCCACAATTGCCCAGCAGTGCCACCCACCTGTGCCCATCAGTGCCCAGCAGTGCCCACCAGTGCCACCCACCAGTGCCCATCAGTGCAGCCCAGCAGAGCCATCCATCAGTGCAGCCGAGCAGTGCCACCCATCAGTGCCCAGCAGTGCCACCTGTCAGTGCCCAGCCAGTGCCACCAGCCAGTGCCATCAGCCAGTGCCACCCATCATGCCCAGCAGTGCTGTCAGTGCCCATCATCAGTGCCACCTATCAGTACCCATCAGTGCTGCATATCAGTGCCCATTAGCCTATCCGTGCCACCTCATCAGTGCTGCCTATCTGTGCCCATTAGTGCTGCCTATCAGTGCCCATTAGTACCAATCAGTGCTGTCTATCAGTGCAGCCTCATCAATGCACAATGGGTACAATGTTGCATGACTGCACAATTGTCATTCAAAGTACAACAGAGCTGAAAGCTGGAAATTGGCCTGGTAAGGAACGGGGTATAAGTGCTCGGTAGGCACGTGGTTAACCAGGGCTCAGCTGAAGTCACAAGACTGCTCTAACTGCTGATGAGAAAAGGTATTTAGCAGTTTATATTCACTAAAATAATTGCACTTCCATGTTGTGTGTACTGTGGGAGACCAGATATAGTGAATGCAGGGTCCGGGGAGAGACCCAGATATAGTGAATGCAGGGTCCGGGGAGACCAGATATAGTGAATGCAGGGTCCGGGGAGGTGAATCCTGGGGAGTTAGTAATGTAAGTAACACTTTAATAAATCCCAATGCCTTTCTGTTTATCAGCTGGGCTTTTTGAAAATGTAAGAATATAATGCTTTTTTATGCTGAGTTCAATGGACATGTTATTTTTTCAGTGTAACTATGTAACCATCATGCTTGTTAATAATGGTAGTGTTTATTTTGCTGTGCATGATTTTGTTACATCAGAAACAAATTTCTATTTTTTCTGTCTGACAATGAATTGCTAATAACACATCTCAAAGCAATATGTGATAAGTACATATGATTAGTTCTTCTGAGAACTCACAATAGTCCTATAGAATTATAATCTATGTTAGAAAAAAGAATAATGTTGCCCAAGGCCACATAACATAGAGGGATAGCAAAATGGGGGCATTGTCAGAAACTATTTTGTCTTACTGTAACTGTTGAATGCTGTGGCGTTGCATGTCCCTGTAGCACTGAGGAGCATACCTTGGTAACAAGCAGTGGTCTATATGCATTGACAGTCAATGGTGAGCTATGGTAACAAAAATACAAGACGCAGCAAATAACCCCAGAGTTTCCAAATATGGTTTATCTTTTGAAAACACCAACACGTTGTCTGTTCTATAAAGTCATCAGCACAGAATATTCTGACAGTGTACTAGTTTAGTGAAAGTTTATAATATAGGACAATGCAGTGTCTGGAATGTTAGATTTCTAGGATATTGCACCTATTGTTTGGGGCTCATAGGCACCTTTTATTTTATGAATATTTTTGTTTAGTATAACATTCTTGTGGGTGTATAAAGCAGATCTGTTGAGGGCAGGCAATATAGGTTATGGCCTAGGGTAGCAGGGATGTCGGGCTGGATACTTGACAGTTGATGGCCTGCAGGCAGAACTTAGTTTTGTTCCATGTTCACACTGATGATTGCCTGCCTGCTTTCTATTAAGTATGCCAGTGCAAGCAGCATTGTGGCCTCCGGAACTCAACCTCACCCCTGTATGTCCAGGCCATAATGGTTACTTGCTGGAAGGGCACCATGGCGGAAATGAATGGCTTAAGAGCCAGAGAACTTTGGTAGAACTTGGCAGATTGACATTTTTGATCTATTCTGCCTTTTTAACTTGTTGTAGTCAGAATAATACAGAAGCAGAAAGGGGACCATCTGCAACCATTTGAATACACATAAAATGCCAAAGTATTGTATTACTATGCATGTAATAATTATATAACGAGGCCATGTGCCCACCCCCAGCCTATGATTGGACAGTGAAGAAAAGCAGAAGACTAACAAAGTGATCTTCCTTTACCTTCCTACCATCAGCATGTACCATATTTTTCGCTCCATAAAACACACTTCCCCCCCCCCCCCAAAAAAAAAGCTTAATAGCTCGAGTTGATATGTAAACATCCAACCTAGTGCTCAGGGAATCCTTGATCACATATTAGGTGTTGTTGTGTGTGTATATATGTGTGTATATATATATATATATATATATATATATTTACACTATTTTGGCAAAAGTATTTGGACACCTGTCTTTACATGCACATGAACCTTATTGACATGCACATGAACCTTATTTTGGCAAAAGTATTGGGACACCTGTCTTTACATGCACATGAACCTTATTGACATCCCAGTCTTAGTCCGTAGGGTTCAATATTGCGCCAGCCCACCATTTGCACCGATAACAGTTTCAACTCTTCTGTCAAGGCTGTCCACAAGGTTTAGGAGTGTGTCTATGGGAATGTTTGACCATTCTTCCAAAAGTGCATTTGTGAGATCAGGCACTAATGTCAGACAAGAAGGCCTGGCTCACAGCGTGATTGGTCACTTGAGTGAACACATCTCCACTGCTCTGGAGTCCAGTGGAGGCTTGCTTTACACCACTGCATCCGACACTTTGCATTGCTCTTCTTGATGTAAAGCTTGGATGCAGCTGCTCTGCCATAGAAACCCATTCCATGAAGTTCTCCATGCATGGTTCTTGTGCTAATCTGAAGACCACATGAAGTTTGGAGGTCTTTAGCTATTGACTCTGCAGACAGTGGTGTGCACATTGTATTCTTGCTGACCCCACTCTGTCAAGGCAGAGTTGCTGTTGTTCCAAGTTGCTTCCATTTTGTTTATTATAATACTATATATATATATATATATATATATATATATATATATATATATATATATATGTATATATATATACACCTATGAAAGAGGAAAAGGATGAACATAGCAGTCAAGCTGGAAGCACATCAACACACATTAGGTATTATATGGCTTTCAATATTCCCAAAATTATATTTATTTTAATATTAGGAATATTCAGAGTGCTACATTGTTTCTTTATATCTTGTGCTCTATAAAAAGATTCCGTCACTGGGGTTTGGTTCATGTAGCTGCTAAGCTATGGACTGCTGCCATAGCTGCTCCTTATGGGGCCTGGAACAGAGGAGGGCCCAGTCAGGTCCAGATGATATGAGCTGCCCCTTGGGGTCCATCCAGTACCCACATCCACTGTTCCATTAATTGCATGCAGTGCATTATAGTCACCAGTGCTTGTGCTGCTCAAGTATCCTCACTGTCAGAGTACACCAGGACTCAGACACGTGGAGTGATTTCTTACAAATGTCTTCCTGAAAGTTTTGGATCTGATGTGATTAGTCAGAACCAGCAAGTGCTGTGGGAGGAGGCAGTGCACAGAGCCACTGTTGCCTGGAAGAGACTGTTTATTTGTCACCATATGCCATTAATTATGCTTGAAACAGAGGGGGCCAGGGGGTTTGTGCACAATGTACACTAGCATCACCAATGAATCTGGGTTTTTTTAATCATTAACACTGCCACCAATTAAGCTGGGAAAAAGGGGAGGGGGTTATAATTACACAGTGTAATTATAACCCCCCTTTCCCCAGCTTCATTGTTGGCAGTGTAATTAAGCTCCCCTTTCCCCAGCTTCATTGGTGGTAATGTTAAAGTAGAAAAAAAAGCTATTAAAAAAAAACTTTTAAACGTCTCCTCACTGCTTCTATATTTGCTGTATACCGACTACAATACATTTCAATTGACATACCTTTTTGAATCTTTTTGCCATCAGTTACATAACTGGAAAGTTCCAACAACTGTGTCTGTCTGTGTGGCTGGTGGAGTTAACTCTATTAGAGCCAACAAGGTCTTAATCCTATGGAGGTCGGTGGGATGACAGTACTATTCTAAGGAATCAGCAGTGTTTATGGCCCTGCACAGACAGACACATGCACTGGAGCTTTGCAGTCACCTGGTCACTGGGAAAATGATTAGAAATGAGATATAATTTGAGAGTTATTAGAAACTGTATGACGCTAATATGGGAGCAGTGGGCAAGCAATCTTTTTGGGTGTTGCTCAATGGCATTTTTTTTTCATAATTACTATTTCTGTTTGGGGAGATGGGCCAATACAAATGTTGCTATGAGGCCGTGCGATTTCTAGTTTAAACTCCTGTCAGTAATGCTCACTTTCCATCAGGGGCGGACTGAGAACTCATGGGGCCCCTGGGCAATAGGGGATCATGGGGCCCCTGTGTCCTTGCCCAAACTCAAAAAAGCCTATGAAAAAGGTATCAGGGGCATCTCATGGGGCCCCCTACTGACCCCGGGCCCTCGGGCAGTGCCCGAGTTTCCAAATGGTCAGTCCGCCCCTGCTTTCCATTAGTAATGTGTGGTCAGAGGTAGACACTCCTGGAAATTTCAATGTCTATATGACCTCCATAAGGTTAGAATGATGGACAAGCTTACATTTTTGCATTATGGCCAATATCATTCCCCCTTATTTCAATTTTATCAGCCACTTTAATCGTCATCTGTATGAAATTAAATTTTATTTTTTCTTCTCAAGGCATGCAGCACTTCTGGACTGCATAGAGGAGGGGGGGGGGGGGGGTGTGATTTTCTATAAGAGTAAAAAATATACATTTAGCAGAATGACTGCTCACGTAGCTTAGGTGATCAGGTGTAGCGGTATTCCCTTCAATCTTCCAATTTTATGCAAGCTAAAATGAATTTCCTTCGTACATGTGTGGGTATTTCAAATGAAATCATATCTACTAAGCTAAGATAACATTTAGTGTAGTAGAAAACATTCTATACTCCTTTAGTGAATGAACCCCAGAGAGTTAGAGCATGTTCTAACAATGTGCAAATCCCACTCTGGTTTCCATTTTCTTCTAGAAACAAGGACCCATCATTCAAATAAGCACCTAATCATTCAGGTCACCTGATTGGTTGCCCCATGTATAAATAAGATAATCTAAATGCTTTTTATTTTACAGGCAGATAAGTAAAGAAGTATACAATGAAAATCACAAGCAAAGGCGGTGTTTTTTTACATTTCTTTGCATAGTTTGAATTAGTTATAAAACATTCAATGCCTTTCACTAAAGCATGTTTGAATTACTTTTAACAAGCCTTTTAATAAATATTGTAGGTGTTAAAAATTTGAATTTAACAATATGCGGTACATCATGTGCCAGTGGTCACAAAAATGAACAGGCACAAAAGTTAGTTGTCACTCAAGACCAGCTATTTATTTCTTGTTTTTATTTTTACACAGTTCAGTACGTTTTCAATAATCCTCATGATACA